AGGTGCAGCCCGCGATGATGGATCCACTTGTGATTGTGTTTATCACCCCGCGGACTGGTCTTTCTTCGGGTGGTTCTTGTTGCGCGGCTCGCCTGTTACTGGGCTCGGGGGCGTCTCTCCTCTGTTCCCCCTGCCGATCTACCTGGTTTATTATTTTTCTGTACAAAATTCTTTAAGTACTCGAGACGGATGAGTTCCTCAATCTAGTCATGGAGACTTTTGCAATTTTCGGTACTATGACCGTGGTCTTTATGGAAATGGCAATATACATTACTCCTGGTGGCGGGGTCCCCCTTCATCCGGGGTGGTCACCTTACAAATGTTGCATCTTTAATTGTCATTAAGATTTCCCCTCGCCTCGCGTTGAGAGGGGTGTAGCTCGTCCTCTCAACTGGAGGAGCTCGGGGGTGCCAACCTCACTTGTCTCCCCTGGCCGGGGACTTGCTCTTCTTCCTCTTACTGTTTCCGTGGTGTGCCTTGTCATCGTCTCTCCTCTTCTCCGCTGGGGCTTCGGCCTTTTGGTTCATTTCCTCTTCAGTCTCGATGAACTGGTCGGCGAGCTTGAGGAAAGCAGTGATGTCCTTAGGCTTGTTCGCTACCACATGCCACTTGAACTTCCGGTGACTGATCCCTCTCTTGGCCGTGACGAGTCTCACTGCGGGGTCCAAGTTCGGGATCGAGAGGCAGGTGTTGTTGAAGCGCTTGATGTAGCTCCGGATGGACTCTCCCTCTTTTTGGGTGATGTTGAGAAGGCTTTCTTGCGACCTCGGACACTTCTTGCTAGTGATGAAGTGAGGTGAACTCTTGCACGAACTGCGCCCAGTTCCGGACCGTCCCGAATGGGAGATTTCTATACCATGTGCGCGCCACTCCTCTGAAGGTCGTGGAGAAGGCGACGCACATGCAGGCTTCGCTAGCTTCGGTGAGGTGCATCTGGTACTGAAAGGATTCCACATGGTCATTTGAATCGAACGACCTATCATACTTGTCCAGGAGAGAGGGGAGATGGCACCGAAAGGAGGGGCGTGGCCTTTGTGACTCCTGGGCCCGCTCCTGTCTTGCCTTCACGCCGCCTCCGCTGCCTCTTGGCTGAGTTCGCGCTAGTGCTGGTTGTTTCGGTGCTGCCAGGTCGGGCCTTGGTCTGGTGAGTCTGACTGGAATTGGCTTTCACGAGCTGAAGGACTTCGCCCAGAGTTTGTTGCCAGGACTTTGAACCGATTGCCCGCCAGCGAGGCTTCCAGCTGCACGTGCTGGGACGGACCGTCCTTGGCGGGGCGAGCGCTCCCTGACCTGCCTTGTTGCTGCGAGGCGGTGGGGGCTGTTGGTCCTCTCCTGCCGTGGGACGAGGCCTGGGAGGTCTCCTCCCTGCGGGGAGGTCGACTACTTCGGTGGCGATCGAACGATTGCTGGTTCAGCGGTGTTACGGGGCACCGCGGTTGGGCTGACTGCTGGTTCTGTTGCAGTGCTGGGAACTGCTGCTGGTAGAAGTGACACAAGACTTGTTGGTAATGCTAAAGTTGTTGGACTTGTTGCATTTGGGCTTGCATGACTCGTACGCACTGCACTAAGTCACCAAGCTGGCTCTGCCCCACCGCGGGGGGAATCACGGCGGGTTCAGCGAAGGTGGTGTTCACCGCAGAAGGGAGTGGGGAGTTCACAGCTTCGGTGACCTGGGGTAGGTCCAGCGTGGGAACTCCGAAGGTGTTGAGGGGTACAATAAACTGTCCAATACGTACAGTGGGAGCTTGGAGGTGCTCCCCAAAGGTGTTTGTTCCGTTGTTAAGCCTAGCGTTGCTAGAAGACGCCATTGATACTAGTGAAAGTTTGGTAGAGAAGCCTTTTGAAACGTTTCCCATAGACGGCACCAATTGATGATGCACAATCCGGCCACTCCTAGCTGGAAGTGACGAGGCTTCTAGCTGTCGACGGGCAAGAGATACCTGCAAGAAGGACGAAGGGATCCAAGGTTGATTACCCGGCGGGGACTCTCCGATGCTTAAGTTAGAACTCGGTAGCGGGCTGAGAGAGAATAAGTTTGCAAGAATATGAGAAAGCTAGAGAGTGGTGAATATGCGATACCTTGGTCCCTGGGGAGTTGAAGTGTCTATATACCGATGCTCTGACGAGTTTGGCTGAGTCGGCCACATATCCCTGCTGTGGCGGGATATGCTTGTCAGGCAGCGTCTCGAGGTGGCTGACCATTATTGTCAGGACTGAAGGCAGGCGGGCTACAGTGACTGTTGCTTGGTACGGCCTCGCCAATCAGGAGACGACCCGCAGGTCGCGATGCCAGCTGTCAAGAGACGTGGGTACGGCCTTCTGAATCGGCAGGCGCTGCGCCGCCTGTCGAGAGACGTGGGCGCAGTTCTCTGAATCTGCAGGTGCTGCGCCGCCAGACAAAGGACGCGGGAGCAGTGCGGCGGGTACGGTCCTGTCAGATAGGAAGCTTCTCGCTGGGCGCCGCGTTACCCTACAGTCAAGTCTTTCTACTCTCAGATTGAAAGGTGGGAAGCTGGATCCTTTCCAGCAGATTTGATTCGGCACTCTCCTGTTTCATCAGAAGTTTCCTCTCTGGTGTGGACAGCTGCCCTTAATTCCTGCTTAACCAAAGAAAATTTGAGTAGCAGGGGAATGAGGTTGAGTGGGGAGATTCTTCCTATATGTAATACAGCAATATTCAGAATACAAACCATCTATTCATCCACTGTAAGATTTCTGAAACCCTCTGGTGAGGAGTGGAAGATATCTTTGGGGTGTTGGTTGTAACCTAGAACCAGTGGAAGACTTTATCAAGTGCTAAACCATCTATTCATCCACTGTAAGATTTCTGAAACCCTCTGGTGAGGAGTGGAAGATATCTTTGGGGTGTTGGTTGTAACCTAGAACCAGTGGAAGACTTTATCAAGTGCTGGACACTCTGGGGTCTCAGCAAAGAAAGCAAGACTGTATTGTTATGCTTGCAGTATTTTTGGACCATCTGGATCGTGAGGAATTCAAGGATTTTTGAAAACAAATACGAGTCTCAAAATGGAATATTAGCTAAATTGAAGACCAGAATTATTTTTAGGTGGGTTTGCATAGGGTGTTTTAAATGTAATCTCATTATACTTTTATTTTGTCAAAAGAAATTTGTAAATCCTGAGATGGGGTGGTGAAAGTTTTTGATTTATGAGTAGTTATACTTAACCTTTTACAAAAATAAATAAATAAATAAAAGAAAAGTTTCTATTGAAGGTGGTTTGTAGTGTATGACATTCTTGACCTGTCTACCTTGTTTTTGTGTTCATTTTGTTTGTGCCTAGGATCTGGATATTTGCATCTTCCCTTCTTTGAGGCATGAGTAATGAATTTACTGAAGAGAGAGAAGAAGAGAGTTTTATGGGATTGTTTGCTCTCTGTACCAATTAATTACTTGTATATGTCTTTGACTACATGGTGGAGATGTTGCAAATTATATTCCTTTTAATGAAATACTTTACCTTTTCTCAAAAAAAAAGGTGTTGCAAATTATAGGCATAGTTGTCGAGGTGACAAGGTGCCCTTGGTGTTATAAAATACTTTTATATTCTTAATTTTTTGAGATTATAATCATAAAATAGACATTATTAAACTAAAATATTCATTTTGTGTATTTATATACTAATTTCTTTTTATTGTTTTCTTATTTGCTAGGGTTTAATCAACACAGACATTGCTAACTGTTGTATTGAACCCTCAAAAACTTCAAAACCTGAACCAATAAGGAAGAACTTAAAATTTTGTCTAATTAACACATTTTCTTCTTCATCTTCTTCTTCTTCCACCTTTTCTTTTCTTTTCTTTTCTTTTCCTATAACAAAAATGAGTTCAGCCCCTATATTTTTCTGAATTTTCTTTTCTTTCTTCTTTTTCTTCTCATTAGTATGTTGATTTTCTATACTTTAATATGAAGTTTATACTTATGAAAATTATGGATAATTATTAAGGAAATATGGTTATGGAACCTAGGGAACTACCCTAGGATATATGTTTTTTCACTTAAAAAAATCCACCACCTAGGCGACGCCTAGGCAACTAGGTGACAAGGTGCCCCCCTGTCGCCTAGCCTCGCCTTAGTGCCTTGAAAACTATGATTATAGGGGTGCCTTTTTTCTTAAACCTTCAACTAGCTTTGGGTAATGGCCTTTTTTTCTTAAACTTATTTTGTTGCTCGTGCTATTATATCAAGGGAGTTCCATTCTGCACCCAGCAACCACATTGGAAAAATATCAGGATCTTGTAATTTTCTGAAGAGTGGACGTTCATTTGACTTGAATTCTATGAGAGAAATACACTAGAAAAAAACCTTTAAAGCTACTTTCTCATAAGTCAAGTGGACTGGGTTTGGCTGACAAGCTCCTGTTAATTATTGCCTTGGCCTTTTGCATTGACAAGCCCATTAGTCAATGTTGACCTGTTGCAAATTGGTTTACACCTTTTTGGCCTCGACTAGAGAGGGAGGTTTGCTTGCAGGCATTGATGCTATAAAGTAGGACAAAAATTACGTCTTCTAATTATGGAGAAATTTATGTTGCACATCCATGGGATGCACCTGTTACCATTTTTTGCCTCAAAAAGAAAACCCGTTCCAACCATGTGGGGATATTTATGTTGCACTTACGATTCTCGTGTTGTGTTGGGGCTCATCTAAGAGATGCACTTGGTAGAAAAATGAAATTGATCATATCATCTTTTTATTGGTCATTTGATTTTAATAGTCAACGTTTTATGTTTCTTTCTTGTTTATCTTTTATTTTACTGCCCAGAAGAGTGTTCTTCCGAAGTGAGTCCATTTGTCTATTGGAAGGAATACTTAGAACACAGGAAATAGGTTTTGGTGGAGACTAGACATCTTATGCATGTCTTCTTTATAGTCCTTATGTCTACGCTTAGGTAACTTAATTTTATGCTTAAGTAATAAGTTTTGTGGGAAATGATCATCTATAGTTTTCCTTACTGATTGAATTTAATATATTGAGCAGGCAAAGAATCCCACTGCTCGCATTGAACATGAGGCTAGCACCTCTAAAATTGGTGAAGATCAACTATTCTACTTTCAACAGAGGGGCATTGATCATGAAAGAGCGATGAGAGCAATGATTTCTGGTTTCTGCAAGGATGTGTTTGACAAGCTCCCTGATGAGTTTGGTGCTGAAGTGAATCAGCTTATGAGCTTGAAGCTTGAGGGATCTGTTGGTTGAGCCACCAGTTATGTATCATTCACAGTTAACACTTATTATACTCAAATCAGATCTCACTTAACCTTTCACAGAAAATTATACTTTATTGTACTAGTTACTGATAAAAAGCTCTCTTGTTGTGGTCATCTGTAAGTATGGGATATGAGTTGTTTCTATATGTAGCATTCTGTTGATTGAGCGGCTAAAATAAGCTGTTTTCTTTTTTAATTGCTGTTCTTATGATTTTTCTGTATTTTTATGATAACAAAAACGCCTCGGATACTCTTTTATAGAAACGGTTCTTTATTCATGTAACTGGACCACGGTATGGACTATGAAAGCTGGTACAATCTCTGGCGCATGTTGGTAGCTGCTTTGTGTGGCCGATGTTGGTCAAAGGGAGGTCATGATGGTATGTGTGGCCGATGCCAGCTGGCTTTTTTTTTTAAAGTCTATGGCTGGTTGTAGCAGAGCCTTCTTGTATTGTGAGTTCAAGTGGGTTTCTTGATTTGGTTTGTTGTGAGGTGTGAGTTGTGACAAAGCCATTCAAATTTCAAACAATGTAAAATGTAGAGTTTACAGGATTCGACTATATAAGATTACTAAGATGTTAATCAAGAGGGAGCACATATTTTCCCAATGAAGATAGACCAATATAATTCCTGTGCCATAACAGAACTCTAGTAGGAAAGCCCATGCTTGTTTAGATGCAGAGCAGAGTAGCAGAAATACACAAATAAAAAAGAAAAAAAAACCCATATAAGAGAGGGGTTTCAAGAAGAGAGGAAGTGGGAGGAAAGATGAGAGTGAATTTTAGGCTATGTTTGGTTTGAAGGAAAAGGTAGGGAAACCTGTACAAACCAAACAGCTTGTAGAGGTTTCCCTACCTTTTCTTTCAAACCAAACACAGCCTTAAAGAAAAAATAGTTTGGGTGGAAGAGAGCGAAACAAGGCGAGGGATGGATTGCAGTAATTGGTCATGTGCTACAGTACTAGAATAAAAGGAAAAAAAGAAACAAAAATATGAAGAAAAAGAGAAGAAATACATGACTCCGGGATCTTCTGCCCGTGAGAACTCTGCCCACGCCTACCCACAATACACTACCCCCTGTGAATTGGGAACATCTCCCCCTGCATAATACTATGCAGAGGATGAGATGTTCTCCATATGTGATTGCGATTAACGTGGGCAGAGTTCTTGTGAGCAGGAGATCCGGACTCGAAATAGATGCTTAAACTCCTGTGCGTTTTTGAAAAATATAAAAAGAAAAAAATCATAGAGATAGCTCTGTAATATAATTGCAGCTGTCCAAAAACGTCATTAGTGCAAGAGCTCTTAACCCACTCGGGCTAGATTTTAGGTGGGCTCAATTGACAACACCCGAGGTGGATCCGATGTTAATGGAATTGAAAATAATGAGGGTTGTGGAGTTAATCAGGATTGTTCGTATGGATGCTGGTTGCAGTATAATTGTCTCCTTTGGCTTTGAGATCGTCCCTTTCCACTTCGTAATCCAAAGTGATTCAGTGAAGAGTTTTTGCACCAACGCTCTTTGCAATAAAACTCTTATAAAATAGGTGAAAAAAATGTCAATCCGAGAAACACCATTCCTTCACCTCTTTTTATAGCCAAAATTTTGTTTCCTGTCCCCCCTTTTATGCCAATGCTGGAAACCCTTTGATGGCCAAAGGTACAATTTTTAGTTATAAATTATATACCAGTGCCAGAAACCTTTTGGTTTGCATGTTCAGAATCAAGTGATACAGAAAATATGGTGATGGAGCCAGCAAGAGAAAACTAGTAGTACGATAACTTAAACTAGAAAGCAGTAAGAGCTCTGGTTGAGTAATGAACAAGTAGCGTCTTTCCCTGATGTTTATTCTCAGCCGTTGATGAGGGGGAATACAGGAGTATGGCTTCTTGAACCAAAAATGGTATACACAGAGAAGGTACCTCTACTATGAGTTCCAAACTCCTTCTGGAACTTCCGTTAAGACTCCAATGGTCTTTGGGAATCTGGGAGGTGTTTGACATATGTGTCATGTACCATTTTTACATAGTCTTCAATCTTGTCAGGTGTCCAATTTTCGGTCCTTATTGGAGGAAGAAACTTCACATTTATCGGTGCTGGTCGGACATGTAAACTGTCCTTCCTCCATGCTAAATGTGTACCAGTCATAACAATTGGAACTATTGGAAGCCGTGATTGCAATGCTATGTGAACAAAACCCTGCAAAACATGAACTTGTGATTAAAGTTGAGGAAGGAGATGAGCAATATCAAGGGAATAAAGATGGTGGTAGGCTGCTAGTGATTTGGAAACCACTACTCCATGGGTCTATGCTAGGAGATCCATATTCTGAAAAAAAAAAAAAAGAATGTTGCAACTCCAATTATCAGCTCTATAGAAACCATCAAGTTGTGACACATACATCTGCCTTTCAGGATAAATCAGATTAAATGGTTATGAACATCCCATGCATAAATGTTCCCAACAAGTCTATGATCAAGATATTTATGGTCCGTACACAACATACATGATGATCAGATATTAGTGGGAAACCCGCAGTAATTTCGTAGCATGCAGAAATCCCTTCTTTATTTCTCCTATGTCCTCTGTGCAGGTTTTGAGATGATTGAAGTGGTGCTCCCTCTCTTGGGTAGACCATAATCTGGTCATAATTGCATGGCCACAATAAAATACTGCTGGAGCCCCCTTACAGATGTTTGCTTACTTCTGCAATGGCCAAAATCCCACATAGATGCTGCCTGGACTAATTACAGCACTTCAACACTATTTTTTCTGCTGAAGCATCATAACAAATGCAACGATCAAAATTTCATGCAGATGCTGCTTGGGCCCATTAACAGCACTTCAACAGCACACTTTGCTGGAAGCACCAGAGGCCCAGAACTAAATCCATCCTTGACCATAATCATCCAATAAGTAGACATATTTGGAAGTATCTGATAACACAACCCTGTTGAAAAGGTCAATTTCTTAGATGGTTATGATAATCAGCTTCTGCCTGGGAGATCACCTAGATTGGGCTTTCCAATTGAATGAAAAAGTATTCCTTGCAGGTTAGGTTACAAGCAAAGCTTTTGTTTCACCCAAATTTTGGATTCATTTGTGGTCAATGAAACTAAAATATCTGCATTTCAGTTTGAAGAATTCCTGGCCAAGTTTAGAGATTTCAGTTTAGTGAGTAAAATTGAAACAGCTATGTTCTAGTGAGAAACTTCAAGAAGATATCAGGGATTTCAACAAGTTTCAAATTTCAAGACATCATATATTTTAATTATATGCATATCATGCATGTACGTGCTTAGTTATATATTCATTTGGGCAAATTTTAAGTAACTATTGGAATGCCAAAATTTGGTTATTTTGAAACATTGATTCCAATTCCCAACTATTTGGCACCTGCACAAATCCCAATATGCAATTCATTGTATCTGAATTATCCACATATTTTATTTATTCTATCTGATTGATAAACATTATTAAGTAAACATATGGAAAAGCAAATGCCCCATAACTTAATTACCTTCTTAAATGGGAGCAATCTTCCAGTTCTGGAACGGGTTCCCTCGGGAAAAATGATTAATGAAAGTTTGTTCTTGACAATTGCACGGGCAGCCTAAGCTTGTCAAATATCACAAAGATTTAGAAATATAGCCAAAACAAAAGTCACACAAAATGTTCTCACGAAAAGAGAAAAATCACCTCTTTTATTGATTCAATTGCTGAAGTTGGGTTTGAACGGTCAATGCGGAGATGGTTTGCCAATACATAAAGCTGCCCAAATAGTGGGTACCAGATGATCTGGGAAAAGAAGATATGTCTCAATAGAGCTTGAGCATTTCAGTATATATATTTGAGTATTTACTAAATTCCCCTATGTCTTAAAAATGGATGACAGTTCCAGGGTTTAGACCTTTCAGTTGCCTATTTAAATTAGAAGCAAAATTGATTCGTGCACAAAGAGAGGATACTTATTGGTAACAAGAACTTAGAGATTGATAGTGCCTTTACAATTATAGGTATAGCCTGCATTTGCATTGGCTGGAGTCGTTCAATCAGTGGGCTACTTTATATGACAGATCAAACATCATAGTGCAAGAACACCAAGAAATAAAACTTGGTAAAATATCTGACGGGGTGAAAGTTTCTAATTTCTACCACCCTTGAGGTTCCCATCAATTGAACATTCTGCATTGCTGTATACAAGGATAAAGGCAGTACCGACCTGGATTCTTTTTTTGATAGTTTACCAACCTTGATTATGCATAGAATCATCTCAAATAATATAATATCTTTAGCAAAAAAAATAATATGATATGATATAAAATCCTTGCATGGATTAACTAAAGGTGTGCACTCCTACCTCCTTCTTTGCAATGCCAACAGTTCCAGTGGGAGTCAACCACATTATTAGAAAAATGTCTATAGGAGAGGCGTGATTACTGATGTAAATTGCCTTTGTTTTGGAGAATTCAGCACCTTCTATCTTTATAGGATTTCCCAAAATCCACATCTGCAATCACCACCATTCTGGTAAAATTTTCATACCTATAAATGCACAAAGGAAGGTTTCTAGTGTAATACAGGACAATGATAATATGGAACAGAGATAATGGAATGGAGAATAACAGTATATTAAGCCAGCACTTAAGCTATCAGATGATAGGCATACCATGTTTAATTTTATAAAAGGCCAGATAAACTGCATACTGTACCAGGACATATTATTGTGTGCGTGTGTGTAGGGGGGGGAGGGGGGGGGGTTGATAGTGCAGATCTCATTTATAGTCCCTCCTATAGTTTAAATTATAGATATAAAATCTCTCTATTATGAAATTATACAGCTTCATCATTTTTTGTACCATGCAGGTTCATCTGAAAATGCACAGAACAAGTCATTTTAGATGAGTTAAAGATAACTTGTGAAATTACAATATTTGTAGTTCTGTGAAATTACAATATTTTCTCCTGTTATCATCTATTTTGCTCACCCTATTTACATTTCTTGGCATTTAATGCCACTCTGTCTGTAAGCATGAAGGCTGTTCACCTCTTTTGTCATAAACCTTCAAAAATTCTTTTCCACTTCTCCAACTTTCTGGAACTCCCCTGCATGTTCACTATAAGCATGATCATATCTCTAGAAACTCCTTTCCTCTTCACTGTATCAGTGTATCATTGTATTGATCTTCAATCTCATCTATACTTCTTCTTTCTGTCATAACTGAATTCCTTCTTGATGCCACACCTATTATAGATCTGCAGTTTTTGCTTCTGTAACTTGAACAAGCCTCCTCACCAGATCTAGTCATTCTAGAAGCAATGCACAAGCTATCATGCTATCTGTAGTAAATTGGCAATTCCAACATTCTGCTCCTGTAGGTTGTATTTAAGACAAACTATATATGTTTTAGAGTGAGATGAAGAAATTACAATATTACATGAGTAACAAATGAAGGAATTGAATTTATATGATATCAAATTAGATGAGCTTATACCTTTTGGATCATATGAGATTGATCTTGCTAGTCTAATTAAGAGTAAGCTGCAGAAATTCAGGGTAAAATCTTCATTGCTTACTTCATTATCTCAAGCCTTGTTGCTTACTCCAGCACCTCTATGCATATTTTCTATACAACCAATAACTTGTAAAATCTTCGTTGCACATCATCTGTGAATTCCTAAGTTCGTTTAATACAAAGGTTCACTTAATTACCGCCATCTGGTCTGAATCTTTATTAATCTCTAAATATATATAGTTCTACAGTTAAAGAACACTCAAAGCATATTTAGAGCAGAAACAATACTTTCATATATCAAAAGCAGCAATTATACTTATTTTTATAATTGATTTGCTACTCTTCATTGCCTAAATTGGCTTGTATATTTTCCCTATGTTAAGACTAATTTTTAAATTTGGAGCTAGGCAAATATTTGATGCCTTATTGTGTTTAAATATCAAGAAAATCATACTTCTTTCCTAGCTGTTCACTTGCATCTCCAGGTTGGTTTTTCTATTTTGTTGTTGTTATTTGTAGGACAGGGAGAATACTGGATTCTAAGGTGTACAGAGGGCCATTATCCAATGATTGTCCCTACTATCCTGGGTCTTGGGAGGTCTAGACTGGATATGGAACCCCATGCTCCTCATGCTTGTCATCCTGTGGTTTTACCACTCCAAAGTGCGTAAGTAGGCATAATGATGCTACTAGATAGAAAGGAACTTCCTACACCAAGTCTAACTAAAACATCTTCTACTGAGTTTATTTTTTGCACATTCACAGGATTTTAATCAACATAGATGCTCAAATTTCCCTTTATTCAATAAAGTAGTGAAGGAATCTCTACAGACCCTAGGTAATTCTTTGCTCCATTAAATCACATTAGTTAAACTTATTTCAATTGTCTAAGAAGTGAAATGAGATTGCTTTTTAGCTTGTGACATTTTAAACATCATCTTACCTTAGTTTAGTGGTTGAACTCAATTCAAAATCCATTGCACTCTCCAAAATTAAGTCAAAAGAAACTGCAGAAAAAAAGTAAACCTCGTGGTAGATAAAATGTTGAGGACTAAGAAATTAAGGTCCATAAAAATTTAATGGATCTTATTTGGTTGAGGATGTGAAAGAAAAAAAAGAAAAAAAAAAGCCAGAACTACAAAAGCAAAATAGGCAAATAAATACACAGAAGAACAGAAGACAAGATTTTATGTGGTTTGACGATGTGTGCCTATGTACATGGATGAACCCATGTGAAATTTCATTATATTCTCAACTGGGATTACAACCCTTATTTTTCCGCTAGTTCTTGAAGAATACAATGACTCGTCATATAATACTAATTCGACCCCAATACCCTTGTATAGACACATTTCTCTTCTAGTTCAACCCCTGGGGGAGTGATTGGCTGCTTGCCCACCTGTAACCCTCCTATGGGGGAGGTTCTGCATATTGCTTGCAGCACCTAAGTGTACAGTACATCCCTTAGAATACAAGATATCTACGGAACAGAGGAATAATCCAGGTTGGTTATGTAGGGGGCTGATGTTGACCAGGTCTTCCAATATAAGTGATCTTTGAATGTAAGGCAAGCGTTAACTATATTTGTGTCTGGGAGCTTTCCCTCCAATCAATGCTCATTGTGGGCTCAGAATCTAATCCATCAATTGATCAATGTTACTGTTAATGCAAATCACACCCACCACTCTATAGCCGTTGGAGGAAGAAGCAAGTATTGCACGGCAGATCATGCAAGGAAGAACGGTGATAGCTAACAATTATTCATGTCAAAATTTCCCTTAAAGGAGTAAATTTCGAATGGAGACAATAGGTTCTATATTCAAGATATCTACATTCATGAAGTCATATTATCAATACATCTCTTCTAAAAGGTGTTGTATTTTAATCTCATAAGAGATTAGATCCAATGGATTTGATTGGTCAATTACATGAGAAATTGCACTTGCACACTTGATTGAAAAATTACCTTCTCTTACAAAACTCAGTTTTGAACTTGTCTGACATTGGAAAATTATAAGTTTTGTTTTCAGTATTTTAATAGGAACTGATTTAGACTTCTTAGAAATAGTAGAGGAGAGTACGGGGGTTTGCGGCGCAATGAGGTGTTTTAGAGGCACACTTTGTGTGCACCCGCATGGCTCGCAAAGTGCGGCTTTGGTTTTGGTGCGATGCTAACCGTTGATCACCGTTGATGAGCATGATTCGATCGGGTGTGATCAAGAGACACAATTGAAGGTGCCTTCTCTTAACCAGCACCTACCTTTTCTTCATACTTCTTCATAAACTATTTAACGAAATAAGGAGCATGAATCAGACTTCAAAAACACACATTTTCGAAATCCACTCTCTCTCTCTCAATCCGATCTGCTACAGTCTCACAGAAGGTTTCTTCGGAGATTCTTCAACTTTACTGGTTATAGATTCTCGCCCAAGGCTCAGCGAAACTCAGCAAAACTAAGTGGAGGCAAATAATGTGGGGGACAAACTCAGCGAAACTAAGTGGGGGCAAATAATGTTCTAAAGAGAGTGTCTTTAGACACACCTCATAGCTTCTTCTCCAAAATTACAAAAATGATCAAAAAAACGAAATAGAAACATTGTTATAACTCAGAGGTCAGGAAATCATACAATTTTAATAGGTAAAAAACAACTAATTAGAGTATCATATGATTCGTGTTAATGAGTTCGGTCGGGAAGGGGGGTGGGGGTGGGAAGAAAACAAGAGCGTGTAGAACAAATCCTACAAAGGAAAGGAAGAACCATAGAATTCAGTAATTTCCCTCGTCGACAGAGAAAGTCAACGATGGTATTGGAAGGAAAGCGAAACTTTTTGTTGGAAGACAGACAAAGTTAGTATGACTGATGTTTAAAAAACCTGAAGAAACTTCAATCACACGATAAATGAGTGAGATTGCGGCGAGGAAGGTGGCTTACCAGTAACCTTCCGGTGACATGACCATACACGTTTCCCTGCTTAATCCTGGCATAAGGCCACGGTAGCAGCACAAGCATGATTAAAGCCCACAAGAAAGTAGTGAACATCATCGTCACGAAACAGGTTACAATCCTTAGGCACGATATCAATACAGCACCCCAGCTGTTGTCATCAGCAAAAGCATCGGGGTAGGACCTCTGTTCCACTGCTGGTTTCAACCCAATATTTGAGGATTCTCCAATAGAAGAAAGGGAGGCCGCACTAAAGCAGCTCTCCAACCTTCGATTCCGCAGAAATTGAGTAACTCCAGAATTCTCCATTGGAAGAACTTGGTAACTCCTCAGCTTCAAGGATCGTTAAATCCAAAGGTTTTCTGCCGATTCTTGATTCAACGAAGCTATCAGAACCGGTGCAGCTCAATTCAGAGATTAAAGCAAACAAAGAAACTCGTAGGAGAGTGTCAGTAACCGACGATATGAATAAGAAAGACAAAATTCATTTGCAATAAATGCTTAGTAGAACAGGTGAGAGACTAGAATTGACTGAAACCTCCTTTTAAAGGTAGAAATCGTGGAAACCAAGAGAAATCTCCATTAGAAGATAAGAAAAGAGGTAGTATTGGCGAAGAAGGTAAATTAAATAGTTAAAGCAAAAACAATCTCCTCGAAAGGAGAAAAGTATAAATAAGTTTGCAGAGGAAGTAGATGCAGCAGGGAAGGGAGTAGAGAGACAATCAGACAATTTGGGAGTTGGAACATAATGTACGTTTAATTTCCGTATTCAACCGCTACGACCAGCATATCTCTACCAGTAATAGGTTAGTTGTCCGTTTTACCCTTCGTTTATAGCACGAACATCGATGTTGCCACTTTTGTCTGCTTGTTTTGTCCACGGTGTGGACCGTGGTGTCCCCACGAATATCGAACGGTGCGTAGCCGGCACCACCAAACTACCACAGACCCTGGCCATGGTGAATATTGAGTGATGATTTTTTGTTAAGTTTTGAAGAGTTTAATTGTCGAACAAAAACGGTGGTCCGTGGACCGTGGTGGGGGGGGGGGGGGGGGGGGGGGGGGGGGCAGTGGAGTCGTCGCGTGTTGGATACGAATGCAGAAACGAACAAGAAAGCATTTGTGGAAGGAAGACCGACGACAATGAGAAGAGACAGCACAGCCACCGTCACCGTGTTCATATGGGGCTGGAGTTTTAGAGTCCAGATGCACCATGAAACTGGAATATTTTATCATCGTCACAAAAATTTCTAGTCCGTGACATTTGCTCCTGGATTGTGGACCGGATGTAGTAAGGCCTTGTCAAGCAGATCCGACTGTACAAGGGAAATCTGCTGAGAGAAAGAGGAGGAAGTGCATTTATTACGTAGGAGGAATTTGGTGGATGAACGAAGCCCATCTGTTAGGTGACGGGATCTGCTCCTCACGAATGGCCGCTCACATGCACATCCACCGTGCATTGGGAATATCTCCCGTGAACAATAATAAATAAATACGGAAGATGTTCCAAATGCAAGATAGGATGTGCGTGTGAAGCGCCAGGTGTGCGATCCGGTCTCATCTGTTAGTTAGTTCCACCTCCACCTGATATCTTATTATTTTAGTGAGACGTAGTTATTGACTTGTTTCTTTTGATTGTTCTTTTTTCTTTTTTAATTTTTTTGGTAAGACACGTGTCTGTTAGCCATTAAAACATGGATCATGATTTAACACATTACACTTGAAAAAGTATAAAAGCTACCAAAAATTCCAAACACAAAATGGAGGCCAGACATGATGTTAGACCAATTTCTCACTTGCTCAACTTTTTTTATTATTATTATCAGGGGGATCCGTACGATGCACGAAAAAATCTGAAGATTTAATAATTTTATTTATTATTAATTAATATTAAATTAATAATCAATTTTTTGTTAGTTAATTAAAAGTATTTAAAGTTATTATTATTAATATCTAAAATTTTAATAATTATATTTTTTATTTAATGTGGATTTATAGAAAATAATTATTGTTAATTTAATATGAATATATATTTTTTAATAAATTTATTTTATTAATAATTTGTAGTAATTTTAATAATTGTTATTATTTTTAAATGAAATTTTGAATAACTTTAAATAAATAAAAATAATTATAAAAGCTAATATTTTTATTAATTCTACTAATAATTAGCAATTATATAGGAATGACAACGGGGTGGGTTCAGGGCGGGGCACCCCATCCCTGCCCCTATTCCATAGTCAAGACACTCTACCCTATCCTTGCCCCATCTCCAATGTCAGGTGGGTTCCGGGCAAGGCAACCACTCCTCAATGTTGGGCGAGTTCAGGGGCAAGGCACCCCATTCCTCATTAATGGGGAATCCTCGAATTTCCCTACTCCATCCCTAGTATTGGGTGGGTTCAAGTAGAGGTGTAAATCGGGTTGTGTTGGGGTGGCACGACACAACTCGCATATGGCCCGCACAAAGTGCGGGCTGTGCCATGTTGGCCCATGGGGCATCTGGGGCCATGCCTCCCTCCCCTAGGATAATTTGGGGGTTGGTTCGACATAAACCACGACCCGAGCCCACACGGGCCCGTGCCGATGGTCGGGCTCAGGCTCGGGCTCGCACATTTCTATAGAACTATGACTTTTTACAAACTAATTCTAGTCTAATATAAAAAATATATAACATTTATATATATATATATTAATATAAAAATTGTTATTTAAATATTATATAATAATATTTACCATATATGCATATAACTTCCAAGTTGAGTCTATTAGGGGTTGTTTAACTTGGGCCCTATTCACTAAAGCCATCATTGGACTCCAAAAGTTTGACACCCAATTAGACTTTGAATTTGATTATCCCTGATAATGTATAGGCATATTGCATATCTCACCTACACCTAATTCAAAAAAAAAATAATTGCTTGAGCCTGCAAATTTATAGATCTAATCAGGTTAGGTTAAGTTATAAATGATTTTCTCCCTTTTATTATTAATTATTAAAATATTGTAATTATTAAATTACTGTATTTATTTAAAATATAGTAATTTCTGGAAATTATCATATTTTCAAAAATATTGCAAAATTCTTGGCTCAAACTAATTAAATGTAAATTTCTGGTAATTAAATATAACTTTTGGTAATTAAATGTAATTTTCTACTATTTATAGTTTAAATTATAATTACTATTAATTACAATTTAAAAATAATTATTGCTAATTATATTACTATTAATAATTAAAATACATTTTTTCAATAAAATACAATTAATTTAATTTTTAATTATTTATAGTATTTAATTAAGCTTTAGGTTTTTCAGAATTTTTGGATTTTAATTAATTTTTGGTGATTTTATTATTATTCAGTAAATTTTGCTTATAAGTATTTTTCTTAATAATTTTCAGTATTTTCAACATTTATTTTTGCATATTAGTCACTACAAAATTAATTTGCATTCTCTTTCAATAAAAATAAATTAAATAACTAAATAAATACCATAGTTAATAAAAAATACAACTAATTATTTTCAGTAAATACCCTTATTAATATAAATTATTGTTAATTTTCAATATTTTTAATTTATTTTTGGTATTTTTTCATTATTATTTAGTAGTTTTTTAATATTTTTGCAATAAAATACTATTAATAAAATAGGTTCTACATTTTAATTTTTCATTAATTTTTATCATTTTTAATGAGTTCATTATGAACAATAAAGGTTTCAACTCATAAAAATTATTAATTAATTAAAAATGCATTAATACAAAGTTATCTAATAATATTTTTAAAATTATCAATTAATATTTTTATATTTAAACTTCTTATTTTTAATTAATTGTTGGTATTTTTCATTATTATTTAGTAATTTTTGCAATAAAATATTGTTAATAAAATGGGTTTTACAGTTTAAATTTTCATTAATTTTTATAATTTTTACGAGATCATTATGCACAATAAAGGTCTTAACTCATAAGTTATCTAATAATATTATTAAAACTATCAATTAATATTTTTGATGGAGGACGATTTGGCCCGACCTCGTAGAATGGGTACACGTGGGCGTGACCTTGCTCAAGCGATGACTCAGAGTGACAGCACAGCAGGCACAGCCGCAACTCGGTGGGAAAGTCACACCGAGTTCAGTCCGGCGAATTGGCGGGATAGACTACTCACCGAGAGCCGCCTAGCCCGCACCTCCTCCCCGGGGCTAAGGTACCCCAAGCTGCCTCCGAGCTCGGAGCCCCCTGACCTCTCCTAATATCCGAGTTCCTCCTAGTGGACCTCAGGCCACTCCCAGACAGGAACACACCGATCCGCTTAAAGATACTCCGAGGTGAAGACACCTTGGGCTAGACAGCTCGACTTAGCTTGCCACAGGCAGTTCGTCGCTTACAAGATAGCACGGTATAGGGTAACTTGCAGAAGGGTAGCTCGACATATCGCAGGAGGATCTCCTGCCCGACCACCATACCCAACAAATCTGGGGGCATCAGCCATATCCCTCATCAGACAGCGTCGTGCCTGCCACCTTTAGAGGGTGCCTTACACCTAACAGGCACGTACCCTGCGGTTACGGCCCCGCGCGTGCCACCTCAGCCCAGCCAATAACGGCTGCGGTAGACTGACAGTGGCGGTTATACCTGCCCTGTCAGAGGCCGGTGGACCTGATACAACGGATTTCTGTTATAAGGAGCTAATATCAAGGGACGGAGGTATCATCTTCTACTCTCGCGCTATCTGCAAGTCTTAGCCTTCATCTTCTCCTTGCTTCTCCTACAGAATACTAACTTAAGCATCGGAGTGTTCCCACCGGGCAAGCCCTCGGGGATTATTCTTCTTCTCCATCTCAGGTACCTTCCAGGAGCCACATAAGTGCCTGCTAGGAGTGACCGGATTGCGCTCCATCATTTGGCGCCGTCTGTGGGAATACGCTTCTAAAACCATCCTCTAAACCTTCACAGTTCTTCCTTCTCTGAAAAACTCAGCACTCATGGCTTCCTCAAGCAACGTTGGACGAAGCATGGAGATGGGTAACTCTAGGGAACAACCCCAGGTTCCCACGGTCTGCATTGGGTAGTTCACCATTCCCCTCTCAGTGGACGGAGTCCCCAGCCGGAGCATGCCACGAGCAACGACGCCTGTGGGTGTTCCCCTGCCTACCTCAGTCGAAACGACCTTTGCTGAACCAACTATCATCCCTTTGGCGACCAGCCAGAGCCAGCTCGACGATTTGATGCAGTGCATGTGGGCCATGCAAGCCCAAGTGCAGCAGCTCCAGCAACACCATCTTTATCAGCAGCAAGTGCTGCACCACGTCTCCCAGTACCAGTATCAGTAGCAATTCCCTCAGTTGCCTCAACCTCAGCTTCAGCAGCCGCAACTCCCTCCTCGGCACCCAGTCTCACTGCGGGCTAGGTCTCACTGCCAGGAGGAGCACCTTTCTCGCCAGGGGGAGGCCCCCCTAGAACCCTCTTAAGAGCCAGGCCTCCTCCCGCGGCAGACAAGAAAGACCGGCAACTCCGATTTCACCACGGGCAGTCAGGTCGAGAGGACCTCAGCTCGCCAGGTCCACATCACCTCAACCCTCAAAGCCCGATACCCCGTTCCTAGAGAACCGGTTTGAGATCCTGGCCGCAGGCTCCAAGCAGGATCCCTCTGTCCGCAGCCATCACCAGCGGCCTGAGCTACTTCTTGCATACACCATTCCTGACAGCATAGAGGTGAGCAGCACGAACGCCGAGCCCACCAAGAAGCAGAGACACCACCGCCGAGCTCGCCGATCTACCACCCACAACCTGCCCGAGCTCGGAGGCAGAGAAGAAGTAAGCTAAGGCGAAGCTAAGGCTCCCCTCCTTTCAGTTCCATCCCCCT